CACTTAATCTCTTTCGATTTATGACTTAAGGCTTCTTAAAGCAAAGTTGTGGACCTAGCCTAATGTTGAGGGTGATCCAGAGAAAAATAGAGAGGGAAAAAGAGAGAGAAGGAGAAGACGGAAAGTGCACCATAATGTTGAAGGTGATTCGACCATTTCGTGCCAATCTTCTTCGCGTTTTCTCACACGAATATTTTTTCTCTTCTTTTAAATACGTCGAAACTCATACTATATAATATTATTTATAGTTTATTGTTGCAATATTGTTGTAATATTGGTTTATTAATAAATTGCAACGGATACAGAGAAATCTGGAGACAGGATAGTGTCTCGGCGCTAAGCCAAGCGCAGCGATATACTTTATTCCAGTTGTCACAATTTTGTTATCTGAAAGAAGAAGATTATAATAGCCTACTTTTTTTTCAATTCTAGAATTGGAAAGAGATAAGAAATAAGTTGGACTTCGGTTAAGAGTTAATCGTTAGTTGTGGAATTAGATCTTAATCCGGGAATAATTTAGCTTTTTATCGCAAAGAAACCTGTCATATCGTAAAGAACCTGAAATACTTTTCTGTACCATTAACAACAATTCGCATCAGTCACGGTATAAATTTTCTATACCGACTACTTCCGGGTTAATAATAGCACACAATAAATACATTCGAATTTGCTTCTCATTTTACTATATCTTTTTGGGATGAAAGAAAAAACCGATTATCCCATTCGTTCCATTATATATAATATAATGGAACGAATGGGATAATCACAAATATAATAGAGCAGCAGGAGATAGTTATACTATTATATTACCTGAAATAATATACATTCTGTCAAAAAAGTACCGGGAATTGTCGATTTAAATCTGGCGGGGCAATGAGGCAGGTAAAATTTTTTTTTCCTAGGTTGGTACCACTGTCCTTAATTACTATGCCAAGTTTGAGCGGGATCTGTCAACCAGTGTGTTTGCAACAGCTGGTTAAGTCAGTCGATGTCAGTAGGGCGTGCCGATTTTTTACTATGAGTGATTACGTTGAGCAAAGAATTTGTTTAAAGTTTTGTATTGCAAATGAATTTTCGTGTGCCGATGCATTGAAAATGTTGCAAAAGGCCTTTGGTGATAATGCTCTATCGAAAACTCGTGCATATCAGTGGTACAGAGCCTTCAAGGACGGTCGTGAAGTGGTCGAAGACTTGCCTCGTTCCGGACGCCCATCGACGGCTTCGACCGAAGATAACGTCGATAAAAT